CTGCTTCTTCAAGTTCCTCCAGCTTGAAGAATGATGCTACTGTTAAACAGCATGCATCTCAAGACAAAGATGTACCAAATTATACCATAATTTTAATACAATTAAACCATTATGGAATTCTAAAAATAATAAAAGCATTGATCACTAACTTTGTATAGAATGCTATTATTAATTTGAGATCAACAAACCAAGACTGGTTCACGTAACATTTTATTCACAAGTAGAAAAAGTATTACAAAACGATTTATACAAAATTGTAATTTACATTCCTTAAAAGAGCATTTAAAACAGCACTATGAGTCTCTAGATGTGGGCAGTCTAAATGCAGTGGTAGTGTATGTTTTCTATTGGCATGTACAACATTGCTTGCCACAGGCAATATAAAAAAGACCAATTTGGTTAAATTAAGGAAAAAAGTATATACACAATATACACATATATTTAAAAAGCACTCTCTTCATTTTTTCCTCCCAATTTGCTCTCAAGCTATCTGTCACTCATTTAAAGAAATGAGTATTTTTCTCTAGAGTTGCTGGACAAAACCAATTATACAAAGTGTAAATTCCAATGGGAAAACATACTTACTGTGGCAGATGCTGGCAAAACTTTTGAATGTAACATTTCAAAGAACTGTTATTAATGAAAAGTTAAATCTCCATATGTTCTAAAAATACCTTGCCATTTACGGAAATGCACATTGGGTTTTTTCTATTTACAAAGTATATACAAAGAAGCACACATCTCTTCATGCACATATAGTGAAAAATAACATTTTGTCATTTCTTAAATGTATTAAAGTATCCAAAGAAATTATTCAAAACTACTCTTATTTGACTATATACTCTTAAGTATTTAGCTGAGTCATTGTACTCCCTGTGTAACTGCATATTCTTCTGCCAGTGACCAAATGGCGGTATTTGCTACTTTAAAAAAAAATCACTTAATTTCTTCACTTACTTTGGTTTGAATTTGGTAACTGTTATTCATGATTTCTGCATATGTGAATAATCTCACTAGTTTTAGCTGAAGCATCTTAACTGCCCTGGCTGCCTATACTGGCTTTAGCTATTCTTGCGCAGGTTCAACCTTCTACTGGGTGCTTCAAAGCAAAAGTCTTTTTCCATTAGGGAATATGAATACTGTCTCAACATTTCCATTGCCACACAAGCCATGTGTTGAAAGATGAGTAATATTTATAGCAAATTTGCATTTGTTTTGCTGATTGCTTTGCTTTTGTCAAGGCACATCGGGTACTTTAAAGAATAATTGCTAGAGTTCATCACTGACAAGTTGGAGCCTGTTGAATGGAATGAATCAGCAGAGGTTACTGGGATTACTCACAGAAGTGGAAACTATTTTAGGGATAAAAATGGCAGCAGAACAAATGGTATTATGGGATGCGGTGCAACAAACTGCAGTTAAAAAAATCTTAAAGAACAGCAATGAAGGCAGAGAGTTGATAATTTACTAGGCATGCATGCAACTTTGAGGATTCAACTCAGAGGTATTTTAAAAAAATGTTATGAATTGATTTTTATATTTTGTGTGGAAAAAACGAATTTACACAATACTACAGTGAGAAGGACAGAGTGATATGAATGAAAAGGCCTGCTAAATGAACAAATTAGGGCACCATGAAGCTTGACCCTTAAAAATAATGCATTACTAAAAAGTATTAGTAATAGTCTCATTGTATGAATACTTTCATGGCACACCTGCTATAATTTGACATTTTGATGTGACAGTTGATTACATTTATTTAAAAAAAAATTACATGCTATAAGAACAAGTGCTGTATTCCAATACTGATACTACCAATTAAACACAACATCCCTATCTATACGGCTGACTCTCATTAAACTAAATCTAATTTAAAGCTAATCTCCTGCTATATTTAACAAAACAATGCCCCCTCCCACAAATGTAATAATTGGATGGAGGGGACTTCAACCATACATGCTGTAACATGCAAATTCTTTAACTCCCCAAACTAGCTTATTGACTATAGTGTAATATATAACAAAAACTTCAGTTTAGCAATAGATGATCCTTGCATAAATAGAAATGTTTATTTTTTAAGTCCTTCAACAGCAGGAAACTGATTTAAAATTAGAACCAGCCAAAAAAATCCTAATGCATGCATAAATCTGCAAGCAGAATTACTGGCAACGTCTTGTCCCACGCCTTCTGACATCTGTAGCCATATTTAAGATACCCACCTAAACACACTGAAGTATTTATATTTCTCGCTGTATTTACATATACTTTTAAGCTCACTCTATTAGACTTTTTAAGAATCTGAGGGAAAAGAAGGTTCTTTTTTAGAGAGATGCAAAAGGTCATAAATCCACTTTCAGGGTTCTCCTAGGATGCTCCTTGAAGTTTCACTTTACAGCTGTTACGGCTCAGATGCAACTGCTCAGAAGATGTGAAATGATGCCATTTTTTTCCAGCTGATTTTGAAACCATGCAACATTGAAGACCAGACTAAGTTTGATGAGAATCATCAGAGGAGCATAAGGGAAGCATTCAGCTTTAGTGCTGAGAGAAATAGCTTGGTTTCCTAAAAGAAAGTGATAGAACAGTGGTTACATAAACTCATAAAAATGTGGATACACTTCTATACTTGACTACACACTAACAAAATACAGCTATTCTGCAGCTACTGTAAAAATTCACCTAAACCTGAAGACTGACCCTGTATTAAAACACCCATTAAAAAACTTGTATTTATGTGCCAATAAACAAAAATATGCTGTCTTCTGATTTTATCACATTATTTATTTTGTCATATAATAATGAAGTATGGCCCTATGCAAGACTGTAATGTATCCACCCGTACTAAAAAGATGATCCTTCCCTCAGAATATTTCAAAAAGACAAGAAAGATGAAGGGCAAATGGAAAAAATGGGGTAGACTGAGATGAAATATTTTTCTTCGAGTTGTACAGCTGGTCAGAGTTCAGCCTGAAAACACATCTCAGGTAAGCCAGTCCTGGTCCTGTCCCTCAAATGCTACTTAAATTTCTCCACCAAAGATGCATACATAAGGATGCAGTGTAGAGTCTGAATATGGAGAAATTGTATAAAATGAATCAGTAAAGCCTATTAAAGAAAAAAAAAAAAAAGAAGAAAAACCTATCCATCCCAAACCATCTTGCTTATTCAGAATTATACACAAATCTCAGTAGTAATACATGACAGTACAAAACCATCAAAGAATACAGGATTTTGAAATGTCAGAAAAGATGGCTACATACACATAGGAATCAGTAGCAAAATTTACAATTTATATACCATAACAAGTATGGTGAAATGTAAGTTAATGTTTATAGTGATATTTTGAAATTCTGTGGCTCCTTTCATCTAGAAAAACTCTAAGTAATATTAATCACATACTTCGGAAGCTGATACATGGTTTAGTGGAAGAAAACCCACAAACTTTTGATTTTTTACATCTTGTTAATATGGAAATATATTCCCTTAAAACATCAAGACAGCATTCAAGTTCCATTGATAACTGCTGAAAAACTGGGAATTAGCAGCATCATAACCATGTCCTTGTCTCATCCTATATATACCTAGAGAATACGACTATCACCTAATGATATTTGGCATATACCAAAATGAAAGTATGGCAACTGCTATCTGACACATGGGCAGTTAGTACCAGATGTTGTTACAGACCAAACTATATATTGTATATAACATATTGAGAAAAATATGTGTGACCTAGATAAGGTTGATATTTTCAGTGACAGCAGTAGATTTTCAGGGTGATACATAAATTCCATTGAAGTCAATGGCAAAAAATTCTTGACTTAGCAGTCTGCTTACCTCCCTTTCCTCCTCTTGAAAACATCACCTAAAGAATTAAGGCTTGATTTACAAAGAATTAACTATTGCACTTACATGTTTTCAGAATATGTGTATTTTGTGTTAAATACTAATTACTTTTACTTCTCATTTAAGAACAATATGAAAGTGGCATGCAAACCAAATGGAAGAGGATCAAAGGAAGGCAGTTTTATTTCTGCAGATGACCCAAAATTTTCATAATTACAGATAGCGTAATTTTGTTAATTAAGTTTGGTGGATTATTAATATTAGTGGCTTCTGTTCCTGCCTCTGTGTACATGCACTGGAGACTAATTCAGCTTTCCAGCCACAGCCTGCATAACCCTTGAGTAACAACCCCAGTACACATGCCAAGATTTGGGATTCTTTCACAGATTAGCTACTTGTGGATCCAAGTTACTTCCAATAGTAGAAAATGCCATTTTAAAGATACAGAGCACAGCTAATATTCACAAAGATACAATGATGAAGCAGTAGCAGAGTGATGTTTTGTGATGGTTACATTGTTATGTGGTAGAAATGATTGTTTATCATTTTGACCTCAGACCTGCATTTTCACTTAGCTTTTATAGATTAAATTATATTTTATGGAAAAACTTATGGAATGTTTTATCTGATGACATGGGAACACAAATGGCATTAAAAAGCATTTGAGAGTCTCTCTTCTGTTTCTGCTACTGCTGTAGTAACTTCACAGAGAAGGCTTTGTAAATATTTTTGGATGAACACTTGCATGTCTTTTATGCTTTGTTTACAATGAACAAAGACAAGTCCTCAGTTCTTCCCTCATAAACAAGGACTAGCCTCACATAATAGTTTGATCATAAGGCTATTAAACTGTTTTTTTCCCCCTGAAACTTAATGAAAAAAACACCTGATAAAAGCTGACGGGTGTACACACTTCCCCCTGTATTCTGGTTCGTATTATCTCAACATTACAGCTTGAGTAATTACACTTCTCAAATTCAGTCAGTGATTTAAAAATGTGAAACTGCTGGATCTCTTGTAGAGTTTTAATATATTTCAGCAATGGCTTGGTGTAACCTATGGAGAAACATAACCCTACAACTTTTTACAATTCTATTTTTATCTAGCTCTATGTGCCTTGAGTACTCATTCTCACTCCTTTGTAGTTACATTTTTTACCTCTTTATCAGTCTGTAAAGTCATTTGCTGTTCCATTGTGCTTTGTCTTTGGCTGGGTTTCAGCAGCTGCTGAGTTCTGAAGTGATGAAACTTCTATGCATGTTCTATGTTTGGAGATTTCAAAGGACTTTGCAACGTTTCCATCAAGAGATTTAGCTGAAATAAGTACTTCACTTAGTTCCTGGTTATTATCCAATTCAACAGTGGCTGCATTTTCAGTCTCAGGACTGCATAATTTTGCAGATCCTCCAGCCAGTTCTGAATATGATTCACAGAAAGAAATGCTGTCACAACAAGCTGAGTTTTGCATAAGAGGCCAAGCATCTGAAATGTCTCCACAGGTAGAGTGTGAAAGAGAACCAAGGAAGGTAGGAATCATTTCTCCAACAGAATCAGAAGCCCTGCGAAGGATAAAAGACACATGATTTCAAAAGCATTCCAGAAAATATTATCAGTATTGTAATTATTGCCATTACTAATTATAGGTATCTCAAGAAGGTTTAACAGAGTTATATGAAGTTAATACTTTAGAGGCATCCTGTACAAATTCTTTTGAAAAGGAATACAGTTTGTTCCTTGTCCGGAAATGAAGAAAGCTCTGGAGAACACTATTGGAGGTAAAGAGTATGCCTAGAGACCTTCATATTGTGAATTCAGGGTTCTAGAAAACATGAACTACAGTTGGGGTGGTTTATAGTCTAAAGAACAGAAATATGGTAAAAAATACTATATTAGTGTTCAGATACAAAGACTGTTGCAAAAAGGAAGGAATTTATTTGTTCTCAATGCAGGGGGAGGTGGGGTGTTGAGACATGATATAACAGGCTTGAATTGCAGCAAAACAGATGTTTGGGAAGACTGTGGAATCTCCAACACTAGGGTTTGTTTTTTTTTCTTTTTACAAAAAACACCCAGGCTAGACAAATATCTAACGGAAGTGAAAGAAGTAAAGTGGGTTCAGACTGGGGGAAGGGAATAGACAAGAAGACTGCTTGAAATTCCTGTCTGCGTGATTTCATACTGAACATGCATTCACTTTAGATTTTTCAGTTTGTTCTGTCTAGCCTTCAAAATGTGAAAAGTTTTTCTCCTCTTTCATGTGGAAAGGACATAATATTACAGAAAGGCATGGATTTTTTAATTCTTATAAGGATTATTTTTATTTTACGGAAAATGGAAGAAAGTGGAAGTAGAAACTCAGTATTACCTATCTCAAGTGTATTTGAAGTGCATGATGATACTGACATGTTTGAGTGCACTATAGATACCTATCTCTGTTGAAAGCCCAGTAATGTTTTTTACTATAGTATACCAAAATCAGTATTAAGAAAACCAAAAAGATATACTAATATGTTTTATTTCCAAAAACCGCCTACAGATTTATAACACTGTAAAGGCTATATTAAGTCTGATATACAGTAATAACTGGTGTGAGAAAACTCATCCAACATTAACATTGCCTATAACAGATTTTAAGTAGCCTCACTCATTCCTAAAACACGATGCTTTAATAGCTTTGATGTACATACAAAGCATTTTCATAGATGAGGCCAAAAGTCAGGACATTGCACCACAATTGAAGGAAATACATTATTTTGGCAAAGGAAATTGGAGCAAACTCCATTTCTACTGGAAGGAACCACTGGATCTTTGATGTCCACACAGCATGGATGTAACATTTATTTGTAAAGCCTTAACCAAAAGATCCCTCACAAAGTACACAACTCTCAATTTGTCAGCCTTGGTGGTATAAAAGGATGACACAAGCTTGTTGGTATTTAAACTAGTTGTTACAGAAAATTTAGGTATTTTGTATCTTGTACTTAGGTCACTAAGTCACCTTGCATAAACAATACCTACGAAGAAGCTGCCTCTACATTTTTAGTTACATTTGGCCATAAGAACAAAACAGCTGGAGACCAATTTAAACCTTATATGGAAAACAATTCTAGCTAAAAGAAATAAATACATCCTGTGTTAAAATATGTAACCAGGAAACTCTGAATGACACCACAAATTTTATATATTTAGCTCATGGCACTGCTGTAGAAATAACTACTCTACTACTGTATTTATATTCAGCTGATCAGGAGAAAATAATGGTTACAATCTGGTAGAAATTCTGGGTATTTCAAATCTCACAGTCATTAAGAGTTTCTAAAAAAAGAAATCTTCATGACACTTCTAAGCTGTACCTTAATCCCCCCAGATTCGCAGGTTTATGCAGCACCTTGGTAACTCATAGCAGAAGAGGGGGTCACCAAAGCCTTTAAGGTACCATAGAGTAAGAGGAAGGCTATCTGCCTGTGAGGGAAGTAAGTCCCTTCTTCAGCGAAATTAAGTCAGCACTTATCAAGTAATACTTAAAACTAATTTTTCACCATAAACCTGTTTTTGCACAAAATGGGAGGATATGGCTACAGTTCATCAAAATTCCCACTGTAGAAATTGTATCTGTGGAGGACTGCATAACAAATATTTAATGTTTAATAGACATTTATAAAACTAAGTTACCTTTCATTAAGCGTAGTCTGTGAGTGGAAAGCACAACTGTGACTGCTGTGCTCCATGCTACAGGTTTCCTCACAGCACAGTGATGGAATCAAGTGAACTGGTCCTAAGGAATGAAAATTAATTTAATAATGTTAAAAGTGTTAAAGCTCTGTATAAACTTAGTCTCTGTACTCTTTCAAACTTGAGTATTAGTTTGCTAGTTACATTATAATATACAGATTGAGGAAAGAGATTTCTTATTGCAAAAAATGGGTCCTTTAATTCACTACTTCAAAATCAAATTACTTATAAAAGCCAAGCCCTTCCTCCACGAGTAATATAGATGCCAGTCATGAGTAGCTACTTTTTAAATTAATTTGCTTTTCAATTAGATATGCGTGAGAGGAAGTACCACATGCTCAGTTAATGTATTAGGATGATATTTAAACTCATGCTTTTATGTTAAATTATGTATTTGTTAACATCATAAGTGCATCTGTTCTGATACGACTTCACAAGATCTCAATGATTTGAATTGTTCAGGTTGTCAATGTCCTTTAGCATTCATATCATGTTCTTAGATACTGTCTGGTAAATCCTTCACACTAATTTAACTCTCAAAGCCAGATGCAGTGCTATTTTTATCAGAAAGAAATGAGATAGACATTTAAAGCTATTTTTTTAATAAGTGAAGTGTCACTGGAATGAAAATAGGAAAAAAAATCATAACCAAATAGCTACTTAGAAATTCTACCTGCTTATTGAGAAATTAGCCTAGGACAAAGGGTAGTTTGACAATGCTAGCTCTGTAGTTAAAGTTAAATGTCACAACTCAAGTGTTAGATAAATCTTATATAAATGTTCATCATGCCATAAAGTCACCTTTTAGTACACCTAACATACCACATGTCTGTGATGTGCTTCTCTGGCACTGGCAACATGTCCTGTGGTCATATTCATTTAGCCGTGGTCTATCAAAACATGACAATTCAGAGCCATTGTAGTGAATGTCTTGTGATCTCAGAGACCCTTTAGACGAAATGAATAAAAATATATATTAGTGAATGATACCCTTTTCCCTGTTCAGACCCTCCTATCTTCATAGTATGCTTAAATGTCATATAGTATTTCCATACATTTTCCAACTGTAAGATCCGCAATGATCATGTGGTTTCATATAACACAAACCACAGATTTTGCAACAAACCCTAGAACAGCTGGTTCAACTACAGCCTCTTCTAGGAAGACATCTGCTCTTATTTTGATGATTTGAGAGTATATCTTATTCACTGTTAACATTTTCTCAGTGTTTAACGATTCTCAGTGATTCCCATCTGAAGTTTTCCACATTCAGCTTTCAGCCACTGAGATTCTGTTTATGTTATCTTAAAGAGCTTTATATTAACAGATGAATTCCTTTAATCTGTATAATTGTAGGCCAAGGCAAATGAGTTACTAAACTTCACTAACTGCAGTTTGAATTCACTATGTCTGAATTTCTCAAAACTTAGGTTGTAAAGCATCTTCTAGGTTCGGAACAATTCTTACAATGCCTCTCTTTTTGGTTTTGCTTAAGCTGTAAGCAGTGATAACATCAATTCTTCCTAGATATTATTCTTGTTTGATATCCAGGGTTCATTAGATGCTATAAATGTATTTTAATAAAAGTTTTTTAAAATGATAAATGGGAACTAGAGTGCTTTTGACTTTTCTGTTTCTTAATTCAAATTAAAAGGCAGAAAAATATTTATTATAAACAAACTCAATTACATTGATGAGCTGGTATGGATTTTTTAAAAAATTTACAAATCTAACTGGATTAGGCATTTAATTCATCTTGAATATGCCCATAAAACCAGAACAGTTAAGATAACTGAACTGTTAAACTGATAGCAAGTCTGCTATCTATACTGGCCACATTCATTTTCTTGATGAGCTAATCTGTGTTTCACAAGAGCACGTGATGAACAGATCCTCCAAGCTGCTATTTTCCCATTGGCATTGCAACTCTGTAATGATGTCCCAGCTTTGATCCCAAATGGTCCAAATATATCTGTGCAGCATCTAACTGAGTATGGCACAGAATTAATGCAACTGGACTACTTCTGGACATCTGCATAGCATTTTCTCAGTAGAAGCTGGAACACCCACACTGAGCTGGCAAACTTGTATGGAGTCTTGGGCTTCTGCTAGCTTGTTCATCTCAATGATGAACTTGCTTGAATGCTGTAGACATTTCATTTATTTACCTATAGAGAGATCTGACAAACTAATACTGGTATATAAATATTACAAAGAAACAGTAATAACTGGAAACTCACAGCTTGGTTTCTTCTCCATAAACTGTCGCTTACAATAGATAACACAAAGAATAAGAAGAGCTAAGAGCACTGTTGCAAGTGCACTGCATATAACAGCTGCTAGAGCAGTGTCTCGAGGACTGGAAGCAGTCGAAGGGATCTTCACAAGATTTACTTTGGTGGTACCTGAAATATAATTAAATAATAATGAAGGTGAACTGTAAACATTTCAGGAATATAGTCATGTAAATGAAAGTCTGGGAAATAGAAGAGGTTTGTAGCACAGAAAAAAAAGGATGTTCTATCTGTTAATGTATAAATATTAGTTGTGCATATAAATAGGTATGATTATCACCAGCAACATTATTAAAAAAATCTTTAAAAAATATATTGCAAAATGAGTGATAATGAGTCAAGATGCACACAAACACATTTTGACTGTCCATGAATGGAATCAGATCTTCACCATGAAAACAAAGACCTCTCAATTTTTAATGTCAGATGATTTTAATATGGAGAACATTTCCTAGTGTATAGTTGAGAAAGCTATCCACTAGAGGGAGTCACAAATACATGAACTTCCCTTAAGAAAACTTTCTGAGAACTAAGACACTCACAGAAGTTCAAATGCTGTCAAAGGTATCATTTTGCTTAGTTACGTATGTCATGACACCATTGTCATTTCTAGGATCAAACCTTGGATTTCAACCGTGCTAACTTTTTTTATTCAGTGATAGTTTTTCAATACAGATAATACCTCTAGTAAAAATTCAACAGATTGACTTTATATCCATATTAGTAAAGATTTAGGCAATGCTTCTAGCTTTGATAAACAGTTACTTTTAGGTGGAAAGCAAAAAAGATTTTTAAAGTATCAAAACTTTAATTACAACTACTGAAACTATCTTAAATTACAAATGGTCTTTTAAAATTAAATTCTTTTTTAACAACTTATGAATTTTGATAGATCATCTAAACCTACTTTTGAAGTCCACATCAATTCAATAACGTTTTATGAGAAAAAGGAACAAAACTTTGAGTATTTCTCTGACAGAAAATTTTTAGAAAACCACAAACCATATTTTATTAATTTATAAAAATAAGTTACATGTGCCTATTTACCCCAGAAAATCTTTGGTTAAAACCTAGAGACTATAATTTCCTAAGAAATGGTCCATGCAGTCATAAGTTTAAATTGGGAGATGAATGTCTGCCAGAGTATATTAAAATCACTAATCAAATCGTACATACATAAAATTGTTTGGTATCTTAACTACAATATAATAATAGCAGGAGAGAATTTACTTACTGGCTTAGTTAGTGCAATCAATGGAATTGTATTACTCTGGAATAATTTTCTGAAATAACTACAGTATTTCCTCTAGACACATCAAATGTGGGCACCAAATCATTTACCATACCATATTGCTTTGTTATAATGGTCAGATTGCCAAAAAGCTAGGTATTTTGAAAATTGACATAATTCCATCCAATTCTAAGTCTCCAGACCACTTAACATCAAAGAAATAATATTAACTTCTACAAAATAAAGAATCCAAAATTTTTACAAAAAGACACCAAACATATTACATAAAACCAGTTTCTGTGGATTATAGTATCACGTAGTTACTTGTAAGTGGGGGAAATATAAAAAAGTGGGGAGGTCAGATCACAGCTATTATTCAGAAGAAAGAATGTCTAGCTGTTAATTTCCCGATTTCAGTGTGAAGAGAAACAAGTGTTACTGCATTTACATCTGCTCGAATATTTCTGTTTACCTTTGATTGGTACTATTATGTTCCACTGTCACATCAAAAGTGTGAAAAGCAAATTTATAGCAGATCTTTTTCATATCCTTTTAACTTGCCAAATTGGACAGAGTGGAGCTACTGGAAAGAATCCAACGAAGGGCCACAAAAATGATTGAGGAACTGAGCCTCCTTCCTATGATGAAAGGCTGAGAGAACTGGGACTGCTTGGCCTGGAGAAGAGAAGGCTCAGGGGAATCACATCAATGTGCAGAAATCCTTGAAGGGAGAGTGCAAAGAGGACAGAGCCAGCCTCTTTTCAGTGGACCAGAGGCAAGGGCACAAACTGAAACACAAGAGCTTCCCTCTGAACATCAGGAAACACTTTTTTAACTGTGAGGGTGACTGAGCACTGACAGAGATTGGCCAGGGTAGTTGTGGAGTCTCCCTCCTTGGAGATGCTTAGAAGCCGTCTGGACATGGTCCTGGGCAACCAGGTCTAGGTGATCCTGCTTGAGCAGAGGGGCTGAACCAGATGATCTCCAGAGGTCCCTTCCTACCTCAACCATTCTGTGATTCTGGGTTATTAAAACATAGCAGTTCTCAAACTCAAGTCAATAAAGAGGCTGAAATCTTCTACGTGAACTAGAAATAAATTTTGAAACTCTGTCCTTGTACTGAAATGTTGTCATTTTCATTATCACAGCAGATGGTCTATCTATTATTTGTGTTCCAGGTAACAGAATAAAATTCCAATTCAGGTACTTTTCCTCTTAAATAATTATTACCTGTCCTTCTCTTTGTGTTCTTCTATAATTTCTATTACTTACAGAGCTAAGTTCTATGACGTCTTTTCCAGATTTTCATTGTTATTTAAAAGAAAAAGCAACCAGTGTCATAATCTTTTTGTGATAACTTGAATGCTCTTGGCAGGATCATTGCAATCTTCCACAGAGAAAACTTTTCACTCAGTTTCTAGGATTCTTGCAGCTGTAGTTTTAAGTAGTTTTAACAGACTGCAGAAATTTCTGCATGGTATGTCAAGTTCCAGGATATAATTCTGTGAGAAGCAGTAAAACTATGTAAAAAAGAAAACTGTCTATACAGCAACATGTGCTGGCTTTGGCGTGAAAATCAAGGACTGCGCTTTGATACCAGGTTTTCAATTTTAGCCAACTGCCTGATCTAGTCTTTAGAAGGTTAAAGACAGCCTGGACAAGTATTTAAAAAGAAGTCAATAAAAAACTGATCAGAACATCATCAAATATTTTTTGTATCAATATACTTACTTGCATCAATTTACCTACCTAAAAGCACTAAACAGTTCTTAGAAATTAGGCCTTTGTAATTAGTAGAAAAAAGAAATGTTAATTTTGAAGCCAAAAATAGAACTGTGTGCAGCACTGGAGGTGGAGCTGCTATATTTTTGTCTCTCTTCATTTGCTCACAAAATACATCTATTTGCAAGTATAATTACATATTCCCTATTCTGGGAATTTATCAATTATATATATTTCTTTAGTGCCCATCAGCAATATCGAAACTGGAAATACAGTGATTTTATTTTAAATAGGGATGCCAAAAGTTTAGATTTATTTTGTTTGGTTGATTTTTTTTCTTTTTTACTTGAGAAAGCAATTTTCTATTCCTGAGAATGCCTACCACTCATCTTCACCTTCAAAGAACTTTTTGGAATAGCTACTGTGAGCAGTCCATTGTAGTGTAGCTCTAATTAGAATGATAGTGATCTTCCCTTCAGAGACCAACATTTCAGAAGTGGATTGCTATTGTAGAAGTGGCCCGTTGGGCATTGCTGAACTCTGCTTTCAGTGTTACTCAGATATGTATGCATTTTCATAAAACTCTCTCTTTCTTTTCAGGCTCACAGACTTATTGGTCTAATTTCAGTAAAGCAAGTAGGTGCATTTTAAACTTTAAACTTTTACTTACATCTATTAAATGATTACATGATTAAATTTAAATATGTAATTAAACACTTTGTGAACTGGACATGATACATTAAGAAAGGAGGGAGGAGGTGCACACTGTTTTATGATTCTGGAAAGCATGTGCATATTATGCATCACAAAAATAAAACAAAAAATATATTTTATTTAACAAATACATCTCCTTAGTTCCAACATATTCTGGAAATGTGCTAGCGCTAAAGAAGAATAACCCAAAATACCAAGCTGCCTCCTGCATAATTTTGAGCAGTAAGCCTAAGTACACATTTTTCCCTTAACTAACCAATAGTGCATTGTAATGTCAATATATGCAAAGGTGTGGTTCTTAAAAGCAAGTAAAGTTTCTGTTAATCCAAGAAGGTTAAATAGCAGTAACTTAGCTAATACAGAACATATGAATCCCAGCTGTATCACTATAACTTCTGCCAATAAACAGAATAGTTGAATTTTCAGCCTATTATACCAAACAACCAGAGACAGGACAAAATGTAAAAAGATTTCCTTTATCGTTTATTTCATGTTTATTTTCTCAGATTTTTTTTTTCAGAACCATGATTAGTTACAGTCACTACTGGAGTCAGAATGCCTAAAAGAAAGCTTTCTGCGGTAGATTAACCATGTGAAAACAGAACTTGCAACATTTTACGTTTTTTCCATGGATATAATAAATAATAACAATACTATAATAATCACCAAACTTAAGGATCATAAAATGTGAAATATTACTTTTGGGTTTTCTTTCTTACCATGTCAAGTCAATGCTAACGCAAAGAGTGTTTACTTGTTAAAAAAAGCTAATCACAACTCCACTTAAGATAGCAATAACATGGTAACATTGGACAGAATGCCATCCTTCACAATCAGGATTTAAAATAAGATACAAAAGTAAATTAAAATGTTGTTAAGTCCTGGAATATGGGTATTTCTGGTCAAGAGAGGGGAAAGGAGCACTTGCCCATTATAAAAAGTGTTTGCCCACTACCTTTTATGATGATTGGCCCAAGTCAGTGGTATCAACAAGAATTAAGGGCTCAGACATACCCTCAAGTTACAATAATTTAACAAGTTACAGCCTGTCAGCTAAATTGCAGTGGCTATCTGTATGTGCTCTTGATCCATGGAAAACGCAAGGCAATGTGACTTATCTTAAAACTCCCTCATTTTGAAAAAAGTTTAAAAGATGTTTATGTTCATTTAAAACTAAAAAGGCAATACCTCTACCTAGTCCTCAACAAGCGAAAGAATGTATTATGTATAAACATGATGTGTGTATATATAATTCAGATACTACATGTATTATATATGTGTATATATAAAATACATGTGTAATATATACTACTAAGCATTAACATCAATGGAAAGTAACTTGTCTTGAGTATATTTCTGAGTCTTTACAAAGCAGCAGGTTGCCTCCCTTCTCCTGATTCTTTCAAGTAGTAGGTAAGAAACTTTATTAAACATTACTGTTGGA